GCAATCCTTGAACACTAATTTTAATTAATGTTCAAGGATTGTGGGAGTCCTAACTCACTTAGGAAACGGAAAGAAAACATCAAATCATGATCTCTGTCTCGTGAAATTTGTAATTTCGAGCTTGTTCCACACGGTCGCGCTATCAACGCTAAACTGTATTGCCAGCGGTGAGACCGCGTGTACGACAACTAAAGAAGGAGTAGTCTGCTTTGGTCAATCGAGGTAGGTTTTTGCTTCAACAAGACATTGCGAGGCCACACACACTACCAAAACGATTAAGGAGAAATTTAAGCAGAAGGTCAGTGTTGAGAATCTTCCACATCCACCATTCAGTCCCAGTGCTGCTTCGAGTGACTATGGCCTATTCCGCTCAATAGCAGACTTCGTCCCTGACCAGCGATTCAACAATTTTGATGATGTGAAGGAATTTTTTTTATTCTGTTATGGTGAATTACACATGCGCACATGGACTCCCCAGCTATAAATAGGAGCAGGTACTGCCTTTTCGAAAAGGGAATTTTCTAGCAGTAAGCTCTGACAGTCAGACCGAACATTCTTACTCTCGTTTGTATATGTTTGTATTACTGTTTCTGTTAATATATTTGTTTAACTCAATTTCTCGCTTTGTGTCTTTATTTCTGGCCCTAACAAGGCCACAACAAATTAAAAAACAGCGGACTGTTATCTGGGACAGATTCAGATGCTGGCTGATCGCTAGATCGTTGAGAATAATGGACTTTATTTTGAAGAATAAATGTTGGTGTTGCTCCATAGCATTTTCTTGTTTTCTTTCCACTTCTTATGTGAGTCAAGATTCGCTGGCAAACAAATATTAATTTTCTACATTTTTTAACTTCCTTTTTGATGTTAACGACGCTGTACTCTTTGTAACATTTGAGGTTGTAAAGGAGGCTTAATCCATCTTAATCCTTGTTAATCTTTTAATCCATTTTGTAGCAATAAATATAATTGAAGGTTATAATGACAGCAATTAATGCGGAAATCCTCACTTCTCTTGATAATTTTTCTATGTACCATACACATTCAGGACATTGGCGATCATGGCTCTCCACAATTTCCTTAACTTGTACCTCTTAATCAGTTATGCCTTTTTGTTATCTCTCCTAAAACTTGCTCCGCCATCAATTTACCCAAGCTCACAAGGTAGGTTATGCGTAGTTTTCCTCTGCCCCTCTTGCCTTCAATCTGACTTGTGAGTATCAAATTTTTCAAGCCATCTTTCCTCATTATGTGCCCTAGCACTATTTCTTGATGTTAAGTATCTTTTTTGTTTCTCTAAAACTTCGTTGTTGATCACAAGTGGCCATGATTATGTTATTTTTTCTTCTTCTTTGTTCCGTGTTTCCTCAGGACGTTGGCGATCATGGCTCTCCACAATTTTCTGACATTTTTACCTCTTAATAAATTTTGTCTTTTTGTTATCTCTCTTCAAACTTGCTCTGCCATCAATTTACCCAAACTTATTTAGGGAGGTTATGTTTTGTTTTACTATGTCCTTGCATTCAAACTGCACTTCAAGATCAATTTTGAGAGAAATAATGTAAATTTAAATTCTTATTCTATGTTCCATATCTCTTCTGGGTGTAGGCGGTCATGGCTCTCCACAATTTCCTGTCCTTTATAGCTCTTAGTAATATTTGTCTTTTTGCTATCTCTCTTAAACCCTATTCTACCAACCATTTGTACAAGTTCATTGGGTAGGATATACACTGTTTTCCTGTGTCCCACTTGCCTTCAATGTCCTCTGAGTATCAAATTTTCCAAGCCTTCTTTCCTAATTGTGACCTACAAATTTTAACTGTCTCTTCATGACGTGTCTTATTTTTTTCCATTTTCTCTAAAATTTCGTCGTTGCGCACGTGTTCAGTTCATGGCATTCTCAGCATCCTTCTGAAGAACCACATTTCTGTTGCTTAAAGTATCTTCTTCATCTGTCAGGAGATTGTCCAGCATTCACAGCTATATAGGACGATGTGATATTACATAACAGTTCAGTACTCTTTTTCTTTGCTTCTAAGGAAAATCTTCTGTTTCTTAATACTTTATCTCTTTTTCGTTGTCCCAATGCGGCTTCTTTGTCAGTGTGGCATTTTCCTGGCTCTGTTCAAATACTTCCCAGTTCTTCTACTTGTTCGTTATTTTGTTATCTCCAAGTTAATAATTTTATAATTCATTTCCCTTAATCTGTTCAGTGATTACGACTTTTGACAGTTATTCTATTTCGCAGGATTTGCTCCTTATAGCTCAAGACTGATGAGTTTAAAGGAGTATTTTCCGGTATTGAGGGTACACCTCGATTTTGACATTTAACATAAAATTTACTAAAATATTTAAAATATCAATTTGGCCTGGAGGCTAAATTTTAGAGATTTACATCGAGAAGAAAACTGCGTTTTTGGCGGAAAGAAATACGGCATGTTTTCGATTTAAATAGTTGATGCTTTGAAATTGACAAATTGAGAACTGATTTCATTGAAACAAACGTTAAACACTAATATCTTGCCTTCTTTCTTTCTTTTTTCTTTCTTGCTTTCTTTCATTCTTTCTTTCTTTCATTCTTTCTTTCTTACTTTCTTTCATTCTTTTTCTTTCTTTCTCTGATATGGAAGCGTCTCTGATATGTCTTTTCCGTCTTTCCACGCGACCAGACGTATAGGAATACGTGCTAAGTAACTAAGGTTAGAGAACAAGCTGAATTATAATACGATCACAATAATAATTCTTAATCTGTACGTTATATATATATATATATATATATATATATATATATATATATATATAAGCATTGTTTTTTCATTTTTATTTAATTTTTTTACGTATATATATTTACATTTTCTTTTACGTGTTAGTCAAAATAATTTACACAGTTTTTGGGAGTTGGGTCGAGGCTACTTATTTTCCTCCCATGACAGATGTTATAATCGAAAGTTTAGTCGGAATATTTGGGAGTAGGATAAGGGTTCTTTCCCCACGGGCACAACGTACTAAGCTTATCGCAATTCTCTCAAGACTTACGGCCACATCACATTGAAACAAAAGCCTGGTCAGTACCTAGACAGGTGACCGCTTGAGAATACGAGGTAGTGTATGCTTGGATGTGCGGATGGTGTAATGGATAATGGCTTGGAATTGTTAATCGGAGAGCCGAGTTCCAATCCCCGTTGGGTTCGTTATATTCACTTACACGCAAATCTACCCACCCCACCATCCTTGGTTTAATTCAATTGTGCCATTCGTGATACACGCTTAGGCGATCATATAATTTTCGATACATGACTGACGAGGCAGATTTTTTCCCACAGCAGATTGTCATTTCTTTCTGCGGTAGGCCATTTGGATTAAGACTAAATATTAATACTTGTATCGTTAAACCATTATTATCTAAAAACAACAAAACCAATTTAAAAATATTTTCTGGCTTTAAATAACCTGCAAAGTGTTGATAAGCAGATAAATCAATGAAATACTGATTAGCTACACAGGCTCATCTTTTATATTTATTCACATTCTCTGGAATGTAAATATATAGAAAGTACCGAGCCCACAAAGTGGGGGATAAGTTTATATATTGAATGTAATATACAACTGATCCCCCATTTTATATCAACATTATAATTCATTGTTTCTGATCAGGTATGAATCCACTTCTCCTCCAGCTATGGGACAATTAGTAAGACTTGTATCACTAAACCATTATCATCTAAAAAAATCTTACAATCTAAAATTATTTTCTGGCTTTAAATAACCTGCATATAATCCGTAGAGAACAAATCCATCAATCAATTAAATTTCATTAAAAACGAATCAATGAAGTTACTCTGTCACTATTTTCCTGGAAAATGTTGTGGTGAGCTCCAATCATTACAGCCACTAGTTCAACCCTTTACAGCTAAGATCTTTCCCTGATACATCCACAGGGTTGAGTATCCCTCATTGTCTTAGTATTTTACTTGTAAGAAGGAAGTTCCATTGCAGGGGTTCTTCACAAGAACCACCATAAACTCCCACGTGGTTGCTTCCTCGAACACTACGATCTTAACATCTTCATTCCATGGTTATTCATCTATCTTCTTTAGCTTGACAATCTTCACCCACTTCATCCTCTTCTTACATCAGTGGCGCACAATTTATTCAGTAATGCTCTACATTGAGTGGCTCTTTTGTCTGCTATTGTGGGAACATTAGTAAAAGAAAAAACGTTTTGTTTTAAACAGTTAAATAGAAATACAAAGTGAAATATTCGTTTGTTACTTTGAAGAAAAGCTTAGTTAAATAGAAAAAAAAGGAATAACCGTAAAAAATCTTCATTAGGTAAATGAGTGCTTTTGATGCACTCAAGTAGAAGGATTCTACACATTATTGACCTAAAAATGTCCTTGAATGAGTTCTCAAAAGCTAGCATAGCCTCGATGTAAGCAGATAATTTTAGGCCAGTGGTTCTCACTTACGAACTAGATTTCAGCTTGTAAACAAGACTATGCTGTATATAAGGTCACAATGCTTCATTGTATGAATGACAGCTAAATACCTCGTGGGGGTTTGTTTAATTTTTACTTTTTTTGTTTTCTGTTTTTGTTCCGTTTCACTTCAGGACGTGGGTTCCACGCATTTCCCTATCTTTTGTAAGCAATGTTTCCCCTTTTTACTAAGTCTCCTAGTCCCTTCCATCATCGTACGATTACTAAAGTTAAACAACGTCGTGCTTGAGCAGGACGTCAAAATACTGTCTCCCAGTTCGTTCTACCATCTGTTTACACAAGGGCTTATGTTCAGTTTCTTCTACGTGACGTGTCCCTTCAGAACGTTGACGATCACGGCTCTCCACAATTTCCTGTCCGTCGTAGCTTTTAATAAATGTTGTTTTTTGGTTATTTCTCCCAAATCGCTATTCCGCCATCCATTTACTCAAGGTCGCCAAACGTTGTTTGCCTCCGTCCCTGTCGTCCCATGAGTATCAACTTTTCCAAGCCCACTTTCTTATACCATGTTGAAAAATCAGTTCTCGTACGATCACCGAAGTTAAGCAACGTCGAACTTGGTCAGTACCTAGATGGGGGACCGATTAGGAATACCAAGTGCTGTAAGTATAAGTGTGCGGGTGGTGTAATAGATAACGGCTCAGAATTGTAAATCAGAGATTCGAGCTCCAATTCCGAGTCAGACTCGTCATATTCACTTACGGGTAAACACCCTTTGGGAAGGTATAGATATCCACCTCTTGCCTCAGCCATATGTTAATTAATAGGACTTCTATCAGTAAATCATTATTATATTTTTAAAAAGGTTCATACATTCTTACAATGTTTTCTGGCTTTAAATAACCAGAAAAGTGTTGATAAGCCAAAACAAAAAAACAAATCAGTCACGCACAGTAACCCTTGCCTCATAGTGCATGTATTACTCTGTTTGGGCTGAAATGATTGAAAGGACTTATCTTTTGACCGACTTTCAGTTTCGCGTTTACACCGCTCGATAAATTAAAATATTCATTAAAAGATAAGATATTTATTTACAGTACTATCATGTTGGTTGCTAAAAAAAGTTATCACGTGACCACATTTAAATGCTCGAAATTGTTTAAGAGGATAATTGATCAAAGAAATATAACGTGAATCTTCTCGATAGGCTTGTAGTGGTATGTCCAATATATTTATTGATGAGTTTGGTTTCATCATGTAAGTAGTTCCTTAAGGGACATTTGTATTCACAAATAATACTGGTTCTCTGTAGTTTAGATCTTTCAGGTGTGTTGTAAATAAATAGGACGCAAAGGTTATTGCGTGTGAACGGATATTAGAAACAATAAAAAAAATATTATGAAGGAGAATGAACAAAAGAAAAGGTATTAATTAAAATAATCCATTGAGGCAAAAATATCTGGAAAGTGCCTTGATCGCTAGTTCAGACATGATATATTTGCGCCCAGGCTCTTACAATATATCACCATTCTTGTCACAGTGTGGGATAGTCAGAGACAAAGGTGATGGAGAGAAAAAGAAAAAGAATATGGATGAATTTAATTAGATTAAAAAAAATATTCTTTCAAAAAGTTTTGAAACTACCAGCGTCTTTCGTTTCGTGTGCATGTGTAGACATGGCAACGTCAATAAAGCCTAGTCTGATGCAATCCTAACGGATGAAACGCATCACAAAAACTTTCCAGTTTGTCACATTTTTCTTCATATATATATATATATATATATATATATATAGCGAGAGTCAACCAATCTAACAGCGATCTACCCACAATCCTTACTCTTGCTCCATATGCGGCCTCCTTTGTTGATCACTAAGTGCCAGTTAAGATTATCGCACACAATTTCATAACTGAATTAATTAAGTTGTTAGATTCTCATACGTCGAAACCGACGATAGAGTTCATTATATATATATATATATATATATATATATATATATATATATATATATATATATATATTATTATTATTATTATTATATATAATGCCACTATGATTTCATTTATATTAGCGTTTCATTTTCTTCCACTTATGATAAAAAAAAAATCACTGTGGCTGCTTCAGTTGAGCGACCTTATTTATGCTCATGTATTTTGTAATCCTGTGGTTTTCAGGGACGCCATATTTAGGTCAACAGGAGATATTCAATAGTTTTCGGTTAGTCGATATTTTTAAGCGGGAAAAGTAAAACGTTGACATTGAATCCAATGTATTGCCAACTAGTTACTTAGCTTTTGCTTCCCAATCTCAGTTTCATAACTACTTCTTGTCTCTCTTTTGAGTTGTGGGAGGATTAGATTATGAAGGTGTCGGCGTCAGACGAATCAATGACCGAGAGATAAATAACCTCGATAATTCTCAGCATCCGTAATCGACACTTTTTTTTTAAATCAGGCATGACATTTGATATATAATTGCCACAAATTTGGCTTACAAATGTTTAACTAGATTGAAATGGTTTTGTAAGGATATTACAGATTCAAAAGTGCTTATTTCAGTGTATTTCGTATGAGGATGAGTATATTATAGATAAAAACGACATGAGTACTTACCCGGTCAGCCTAGAATTAGAGTGGGTTATCTTTATTTAAAACTAATATACTGTCAGTACAATGCTCAAAAGCAGAAGTTTCAATACAATGCTCAAAAGCAGAAGTTTAAAAGATATGGACTAGCTGTTCTTAGTGGCATTAACGCCTTACCTGGGGCAAATTGATATATATATATATATATATATATATATATATATATATATATATATGCGCAGAATATTTTCATTCAAGCATGTTTGGCTGAATAAACTAAACATATTATGTCTATTTAATTTTAATTATAATTTTAATTATTCTTGTCCACGTTTACGTTTTAGAGAAATATTAACTGACCTTTCAAATATACTCCACCATGAAAATAAAAAACAAAAACTTCAAATTATCGAAGCGCTGTATATAAAAAAAAACGAAACCAACACCAAATAAAATTGATTATGAATATAGCAACAATGTTTTAAAATGTTTATAAAACATTGTTTCGTGATGCTCAAATTGTAAAAAGAAATTTTTTTTTAATTTTTCAAAAAGATTGCAGGCTGTGTATTTTTAAAACATTAATAACAATAAATTTAAACTAAGTTACCTCCCTTACATATTATTAACGTAAATAGACTCTAACGGAGCGCGTTTTATGCGAATTTGTACAAAAATTCACAACTATCAATGACACTAATTTTTGTCTTAGCAATTCATCCATGAAGATGATCCTGGATGCGATTAAAAGTAATTGGGAAATTAAAAGAAATAATCAAAACTACGGTGTCTTTCTTAATCAATTTTTTAACAGCATTAACAAATTGATCCGTGAATTTGAGAGGATTAAAATAAAAATATACATAATATGTCTAGATTATTCAAGCAAACATGCTTATATATATATATATATATATATATATATATATATATGCAGGTAGCACATACGCCAGCTTGGTGTATTCTATAATAGCTGTCTGCGTGCCATCTGTGGAGTTATACTCTATGACAAGACATGTAAGGTGTAATATTGGAGGAATCGAGACTTTCCTCATACAGTCTCAGTTGCGGTAGTCTGGTCATGTCTTGGAATATCTGATGACAGGATACCCAAGATTCTAATGTACAGCCAGTTAGATCAGGACTACAGGAATGTATTACACCCATGGCTTAGATAAAAAGACAAGCTGAAGAGCAACTTGTCAGCTGTTAATCTACCTCATAACACCCTTGAGCGCTTAGCCTTGGAGCGACAATAATGGAGATCAACGTGTTTTAGTGGACTCAGCAATTTTTAATCTGCTAGTCTGAATTCACTACTACACACGTAAAACGTTGAAGTCAGACTAAACACAAATGTACACGAATAACAAATGTAACCTAGTCTATATAGCAACAGAGCGCCATCTATCGTAAATTTTCTTTAAACTTAACTCAAAAACGAAGACTTTTCTGATATATGTTTATATGGACTTTTGTTCTTATTTTGGTTTGAAGAACCCATCCCCAAAGTTTGTAAAAATATTTTTGATACACCCTGTATATATTTTTGTGTGTGTTTGCGTTTTTATGTGACTGTTGTTGAATAAATCAATATACAACTATTTTACTATTATCATTTAAATTCACTTAAATATGGTCGCAACTTTTGTTCTGGTATATTTGTTGTAAACATCTATTCCATTGCAATTTGCCTAGTAAAGTCTTCTTTCTCTCCCCCCCTCTTTCTCTCTCTCTTTCTATCTATCTCTTTTTTTTTCTCTATAATCTTTACGATTTTTTTAATGTCATGATCGGTATTTTATTTCATCAAATTTCCATTCTGAGTGGAGCACTGGAAGAATGCTAAAAGACGCGCTAATGGGAAATCACTGGGGAGGGAAAGCGAGAAGCGGACATGATTCAACGTATTTTTGCAAATGCCCCCCTTCCACTTCTCTTTTCCTCACACGCATTCATAACTCCCCCCCCACTTCTTATTTGTTCTGCTACTCACACACGTACGCACACAAAACAATTAGGAGCAGTTATCAATAGTTTACACACACTGAATATCCACTGTTGATGTTTTAATTTAATGAAGTTCGAATCAAACCAATCGAAAGCAACGTTTGTCTAAAGGCTAAAGACAAGGCATCATGGTTGTTTTAATTTGTGTTCGTCTTAATCTTAGTTTAAGATAAAGACTAATTTGTTTTAATCCGTTGTATCCTAAGTCCCGAGCATTTGTTGTTATGCTCTCCCTGGACCTTTTCAGAACTGCCTGAGTCATAGAATCAAATCTGCAAATGTCTAGTACAGTGTTGCTCATAAGAACAACCTCTGCTCATATTCTCGCTTGTTAGCTTACGTATGTTTGTTAGATTAACGATATTTCAATCATTGTTTAATGTTAAATGTAAATTATATCGGATAAAAATAGCAACGAATTGATAAGTAGTTAGATGCAGCTTCTGTTTGGCATTAAAGTAAAAAAATGTAGACAAACATCTGGCTTGACACTTGAGTCAAAAGGGATCACACAGCCCCGGTTTGACACTTGAGTCAAAAAGGAACACATAGCTCTGGTTTGACACTAGTGTCAAAAAGGTACACATAGCTCTGGTTTGACACTAGTGTCAAAAAGGTACACATAGCTCTGGTTTGACACTAGTGTCAAAAAGGTATACATAGCTCTGGTTTGACACTAGCGTCAAAAAGGTACACATAGCTCTGATTTGACACTAGCGTCAAAAAGGTACACATAGCTCTGGTTTGACACTAGCGTCAAAAAGGTATACATATGTTCAGTTTGACACAAGAGTAAAAAAAAAAAGGATGGCATGGTTGCGGTTTGTCACTTGAGTCAAAAAGGTAGACATAACTTTGGTTTGACACTAGAGTAAAAAAGGATGACATCGTTACCGTTTGACACTAGAGTATAAAAAAAATGACAAGTAAAAAAGGATGACTCGGGTCAGCTTCTTTCTAGAGGAAAAAATAGATACATGTGCAGTTTGATACTATAGTCAAGAAGGCAGACAAAGTTACGGTTTGATACTTGAGTCAAAAGTCTCACATTGGTTCGCTTTACACTAAAAT